CAAAAGGACCTGTAAGATTTAGAGAACTGCACGACATCATGGAATATACCTTATAAGTTATAGCAGGATCCGTAATCTGATTCAAGAGTATTCCCTATTTAGGGGTATGGGCAGGAATGGACAGCAGATCTTACGAAGGATTTAAGCGGTTTGGTACACACAGTAGCCACAAGCGTCAAAGCTATCTTCCCGCAGGCCGGATGCTGCTCGACTCACAAGGCTACCCAAAATCTCAAAATCGCCAACATCCACCCTACACCATCAACCCTACATCCTAAACCGTCCCTAAACCCTCAACCCTTAATTCCGAGTGTCCTAGACCCTCAACTCACCGAAAGCATGAACCGTCAAATACCTGACGCCTCATCCCTCGACAGCGCCGTCGGCAGCTGAGGGTAAATCACGCTGCTTGGGTGCAGGTTGACCTTGAATTAGGGCTCGGGCTCGGGGTTCGGGGCTTAGGGTGGGGTATCGGGGTTCGGGGTTTGGGCCGACCTTCGCATAAGATGAAGATAATAAGTGCAGTCTATGGGAGCTCTACCCTCGGGGTCCAGGCACCGATGCAATCATGTACTGCTCCGAAAATAAACCCAAGTACCTAATCATTGGGTCATTTGGACTCTCAAAGTTAGGGGTCCGGATTTAGCAGTCAAGCAACGTGCGCGCAACTGTCCGCTAGGCCAGGCAACTATAGCACGATCATACTAATACATACCTTCCGGGTCTCTGTTCTACCCCCAAGCAGGAAGGCCTTCGGACACAAGCAGCACCCATGTACGCATATTAGTCAGAAAGATATCAGCCGATAGTCAGAGGCACTGAATGCCGAACTCTGAAATGCCGACCCCACTCGACAAGGGGCAAAGGGCACCTGCTGCGTGTGGAAGACGCACTCGGCCGCACACCTGAACCCACATACCGGAATGTCCCACTCTTTGGACTTGAGGGTTTAGGGCTTGGTCCCTCAACCCTGCACTCAAAACCCTTCTTGCACCTGGACTACGCATATGCGCACTCAAAACCCTAAAACCTAAGCCCTAAAGCTGGATCTTAATTCCTCAGTTCAAGCTGCAACACCTGCTCCTGAAACCCAGAACCCCCAGCGAAATGAGGGCCTGTGGTCCTCATAACCAGATCTACAGCAGCTTGAGCTTAGGGTTTCAGCGTTCAGGGTTTACAGATTTTATAGGGGTTCAAAGGGCATAATTACGTTTTTTTGGTTTCATGGTTTAGAGTTTTGGGCTACGGTGTTTAGGCTGCCAGTCATACAAGACAAGCTGTTCCACCATGAGCAACGGGAGTTTGGGGGCATACGAACCAGGTCAAGAAGTAACATCGACCTCTACAGACCCTGTGTACTTCGAAGGGTCCAAACAGCAGGTCAACGACTGCATAGGAGAGGGCTTTCAGCTCCGTGGCAATATGTTCCCCCTTAGGCCCTCATGCTGCATTTGCTTTGCTATCTCAAGCCCATGTACGTAACCCTAAACCCCTAATTAAATACACCCTAAACCCCTGAACCCTAAACCCCCTCAACCCTTAAACCCTTATCCCCAAACCCTAGAGAACCCCAGCCTCTCGCTGTTGTTCTCCCCAGGCAGTGCTATGTTCGGGTAGAGCGCGCAGGCGACCACCAGCTGCAGGAGCTCCTGGAAGGGCTCCAGAGGTTTGTTGGGTCCTTTTTGAGGTTTGGGTCTAGGGTTTAGGGCTTATAGGGCTTAAGGTTTGGGTTTAGGATTTATGTGGGGGTTTAAGGTTAGGTTTATATATTCAGGATGTAGGGGCTTTATTTACGTTAACATAATAAGGAAACCATGCGATTTACTGTAGATCCCTTTACGTATGGTAACGTAATCTACAGTAATAAGGAAAGCATGTTATTTACTGTGGATTCCTATTATGGTAACTTAAACTGAACTCCTTAACCAGAATGCAGTTTCGGGCTTGATTAGGGGTGTAGGGCTGAGGTGGGGTTTGCCAGGCTTTTCGGTCTGGGGAATGGAGGGTGCAAGGTTTGAATTTAGATAGAGTTTAGTTACGGGCACGCGGCTTGGACTCCACAGGGATCGCTGCCGTGAGCGTATAGCTTCGCGGCTTCATAATGGCAAGACGGAGAACCGAGACCGTCGGTTTTCGAGTACTTGATACCCTGAAGTCACAGTCGATCTTGCCATCGTTACAGCTACAGGCGTAAGCCATCAGTGGAATTCGGTGCACAAACTACTCACAATGCTTCGATTCGACAGGAAAGAGCAGCTATACAGCTCGTACCAGGCTCCCAACAATCAAGCGACTGCCCGACACATTTCCCCAAGGTGAAATACCTTGTAACACAAACTGAAACATGGGTGCCCTGAAGCCAGAACCCCACCGAAACTCTTTACTACAAAGCGACCCTGGCCCTAAGCGCTAAAGCCTCAAACGACCCTCACCCTAAAACCCTGAAGCGCTCAGTCCGAAAAGCCCGCCCTGTGACCCTGATGCCTCCAAAAAATATACAACTATTAAACCCATAAATGCAGCTACAACCCCTCCCTCAATAACTTACAAAGCTCGAACCGTGTAAAACCCTCCGGCACCCTTCGAAGACCCTCAGAGGGATGAAACCTTTCCAAAAGCGCCAAGACGAAAACAAATCTCATCACACTTCGTACGCACACCCTCCCCGAACACCCGAACCCGCATGCAACACCATAAGCCCTAAACCTCATGCCTTTCCTCCTGCTCTCGGCTTAGCGACTCGAGCGCTTTCGTCGTGTGCCGGTGGCTGCCATACCTAGCACACGGCATCTTGGGGCTTACTGTTTCAGGGCTAGCTCTTCGGGCTTGACAGGTTTCCGAGTGACAATACGGTTGATGATATAAATCCGGCATTACCCATAATAAGGAAAAACATAATTCCCATAGTTTAGGGTCCTTCACGTAATTCAGGACATATATCATCAAGAGGGGTTTTGCAGGGTTTAGTGTTCCGAAGGCTTCCGGGTTCTTCGGGATAAGGACTTCACAGGGTTGGGCTTTTGTGCTTAGGGCTGTAGGGTGTTGTTGTTTAAGGTTTCTTGTTCTATTTTAATGAAATACAAGCGAAAGAGAGAAGCGAATGAAGCGCGTGATTTAATTAAATAGAACAAACAAAGGAGCCAGAAACCCATAATTTTACAACTAATTTCCTGTACTATACTAATCCTTACTGACTCCAGGTGTAAAGATACAACTAAATTCCAGTCAATCCAAAAGACCTATTTTTGTTTTATTAAATTACAAACGAATGAAAGTAGTGAATGATGTGCGTGAATTTAATAAACAAAAATTGGGTCTTTTGCTGGTTGATCTGGGGCTGAGTCTTAATGTCTTGAGTTACTAACCGGCTTAGAGACCAGTCCAACCGCAGCATCCAGGAAAAGACCCCATTTCGTTCCCTTTCATTTAGTTGAATTGTAATGGAATGAACGGAGTGGAGAATGAAGCACGAATTCAACCTGAAAGAGGAAACGAAATTGGTCAAAAAGAACCTAATTTTAGTATGATCTTTTTATTACTGCATTTAGGTGTATATCTATAGGAGAAATCCTGTATGATAGAAATCCTTTATAAATTAAGTCATTCTAATACACCTAACTTTTGGTATAATCTGAGGTCTTACCATTTTTGTCAGCCCGTGCAAGGCTTGCGAGGCCCCCGGCTTTCTCCGGCTTCGGGGCTGGAGGCTTGGAAACCTCAACCCTAACCGTCCCTAACCCGTCTTATGTTTGGGGCGATATAGCTCCGAAGTGGAGTACCTTCAGGGGCCGAAACTGCTGGAATAAAGTCATGTTTGGGGTGCCGAACTTTATTTCCAACCTGCTGGATGGAAATGGCATTTTTGCACAGCTTGAAGGATTCAACACAGAGCTTTTTCGGGGGCCCAAACCCCATGCTGTATAAGACTTGCTGACCTTATTTCAACGAAAGAACAGGATGGATAATTTTGAGCTCAGAACTTGGGGTAGTAGGGCTTCAGGACTAGGGTCTGGGACTCCAGATTTATAGAGCGCGACTATGCAGACCCTGCTGCCCTCACAAAGGCCCTTGCCCTAAACCCTTAACTTACCTTTGGTTAGTAGGGAATGGAGGAATGGGGTATAATCGTAACTCCTATTACTACCGTTCTTCCATTCCCTACTGACCAAAGGTAAGTATAGATCCCTTATAGTAACCCTTATAGACTCCCTTGAAGGGAACCCTACCATTCCCTACTAACCAAAGTAGTAAGTTAACCCGGGCATGTGCCTGAGCTCGAACTCGATGTTCCTACGACGCATCTTCTCGGCGAGGCTGTCGTTTTGGGGCAGGCGCACCTGCCGGGGCAGTGGGTGCTTGATCTTTTCTACTATTTGCTTAAGAAACCCCCAAAAAATAAAAAATAATAATCCCTATAATACCCCCATAAGGAATATATTTTTTATTTTTTGGGGGCTCTTAAGCAAATAGTAGTTTTGTCTGTTGTATGTTTTCTATAGGAGTTTCAGGACAACGACAGGGGCCCGAATGTGGAGACCCTAAATCACCAATCGGTGCTTTGCATATTGTGGCTGAAACGACTATACTGCACACACAAAACTGTATAAGGTTTATGTAAGCAGCTTCAAACTATCAACTGTGAAACTTCAAGCCCGCGCCATCCTGAAATCTGCACCCCGTTCTGGCGCTGAGCCTTGATCACTCGACGCTGGAGGGAACCGCCCCTTTAAAATGCTAAGCCTGCGAGACATCCCGCAACCCTATCGACTGCTGGAGCCCCTCAAACCAGTCTAGCATAGGGTTTAGGGCTTGTTTTTGGTTTAGAGTTTAGGGGCCTTTTTCGTCGCCCACGCTCCGAAGCCCGTTTATGGCAGGCAGGGTTTAGGGTTTAGGGTAGTAAAGTAGAATAGGATAATGCAATATATTCGTTGAGTTCGAACCCAGACAAGCCCTTCCTTCCGAGACTTCACTAGTCCGCACAAACGAACTATTAGTGAAAACTATGGAAGGATACTCCGCCAAACGAGCATTTAGGAGTCATTCTCGTGACCAGCTGTAAGTGCAAAAACACCCTTTCCTGGCTGTTGGACTCAAGTCACAAGTCCCAAAAAGAAACCTAAACCCCTAACCCCTAAGCCTCTGAACCCCGAAAACGGCTGCCTTGGAGCCCTGGGACTTTCCAGTCTTCTGCCGCTTGCGTGGCCGGCGGTTTAGCTCGCGATTGAAGTTGCCCTCGCCTGGCGTTCGAATGGGTTCGCTTCGAGCGCTTAGGCTTGAAGGAATGTTGGGGGATGTTGGAGGTTTTGACACTCACACTGGGACAAAGCCTGGCAGCCCCCACTTACAGCTGTTGTTCCGAATCCCAAGTACGCAAAGGGTAATGAAAGCTTCTTGGCCCGCAAGCCCCTTGACAAGACTTTTCCTAAATCTCAAACACGAAACCCGAACATGAGGCTGCAGGTGCAGGGACATTTCAACAGTTCTTCACTCTCCTTTCACCAGGTCGCCAGCCCCTGCACACATTCCAGGATTCGGAGCTGGACAGGATACCGATTTAATATAGGGGCCTTGATAATTAGAATAGGGTATTGGGGCCCATTATACTATCACTATAATAAGGAACCCCCAAAATAGTATAGGCGATCATTACGGCCCCCATATGAGGGCCCAAAGCTTACAGGGTCCAGGGGGAAAAGGCGCCTCCGCTAGCATTGGCCACATCGTCGTCGCTGCCAAAGAAGTCGCGATCGTTCATGGCGTAGCCGAGCCCGCGCTCGTCCTCTGCCAGGACGCCTCGCAGCTACGCCCGCGACTGAGAAGGCTTCCTGTAGAATGCTTGGTTCTGGATGTGCGTGCTTAAGAGACGACATCATGGGGTTGGGGGTATATAGCTGGCATGTGCAGCGCATCAAAGCAAATGCTTAGGGATTACGGTGCCAAGCTCTGACAGAAAAACTGGCAGTCGCGAAACCCCCCAACTTCGACGACCGTAATCCTCAAAAACAGAACATCAGAACTTCTTCTCGCGCTAGCAGAGAACGTCCTTGATGATTAGTAACTCTCTAGGTCCTGCTTGCACGGCCGGATGTGGTTAGGGTCGCGTCAACGTGCCAAACTTTGCAACTGGGAGTTTCCGAAAATAGGGGGGACCCTAATATAGTACCCTAAATAGTAGCATCCTTATTATAAGGACACCCCCAAAAAGGTACCCCTAATTTTCAGAAACTCCCAACTAGGTCCTTTCATGTTCCTCTGCTTCACTACCTTCCCCCCCCTATGCAAGTGCGAACCCCGTCTTGGCGCGAAGCGAGTGGCGCAATCTGCAGCGACTTAGTCTTACTAACCCGTTCCCGGAGATGGTGTACTCAAGCAAAGCATCAGGCAATACATTCAGGCCTCACTCGTCGTCATTCGTAAACAAACGAAAGTCTGAGAACAGCCAAAAGGCCATGTTTGCATTTCATGCTTATGCATGCTCAAGCAGTCAGTGATGCTAGAAACCAGTCAGCAATCCGAATCGCGCAGCACGAAGTAACAAACCACAGAACAGGACACATGATCGCAATGGTAGGCCTGAAATCAGGAAACCATCGAGACCTCAATCCAGTAACCCCTGAAAAACGCAACACCTCAAACCACCTGCCCTAAACCCTACTAAACCCCTGCCTTCTCCGTCTTCGAAGGTGAGGCGACGCTGCTCTCGGGTGCTCTCTTTCATTTTCAGCTCCTGTCTGTCGTGCGGGCACTGCAAAGATCAGACCGTAGGGGTTCTATTACACGGCTACTAAATACATGAGCCCCCTTTCCTTGTTCAATACAGATACATGGGACATTAATCTTCACGCCCCTGCCTGCCCTGAAGGAAGGTAGTATTACTTTAAGTGACTACTGCAAAGACTCTATTATGATGATTGCTATGCATACTACAGTACAAAGGCAAACATGCGGGCGGCAGCACCTCGAGCTCGGCTTTCAGAGCCTCGCGATCTGCGGCGGACCTCGGGCAAACAGCCTGATTTTTTCAAAACATGGACTTGTTAGATGCTAGCACACATTACAATTGCACGTGTATGAAACGAAAATACTTTACATGACGGAAAGGTGACTTGAACAGCACGCATTGTACCTGTATCAGGCACGACGTTAAACTGTATCACATAGCCAGTGAACTGAAACTGGTCATTCCCATACTGCGCGACACAAGGAAGCTCAACTTCAATGACGTCGCTTATTGTTGCCAACACCACAACAGTGAGAACAACATGTCCAAGTTGCAGGTAACCATACAACTCAGCACAAGAGGAAGTCAACGTATGTCCCGCTGCAGTGTACTGCTGCGGGACATGTGCTTGATCAATCCGCATGATGACCGAAGCTCTACAACCACTGTATAGAATGCTGAAACCCACCACCCCCAAACATTCCTAAACCCTAGCCCTAGAACCTCATGTATAAGCCCGCAGGCATCAGTCGAGGAGCAGCTTTGCGCCATGGGAATCTTGGACCATGCGCTCCTCAAGCACACATGAGGGACTAGGGTTTTTCGTTGAGGGGTTTAGTGTTTACGGCTAAGTATCCACTACAGAAACAAAAAACAAGAGCAGTGGTTCTGCAATAGCCAGTGAAATGGCAATAACAGGAAGCTCACATGATTCAAACTTGGGATAGTTCAGAGAAACCCCAAGTCTTTAACCCAAGCTAGAATCTCCAGCACAAACTCTCTAACTCCCTCGGCTACGACGACGAAAACCCTAGCAACAACTGCCATGGCTCAACACTGAGAACTCTCAAACCATTTCCAGCCAAGCCCTGCAACCAGAAATCGCCCCAACCCGGAACCCTCAAACCCTGACCTTCATCCTATAAGTAGGTAGCCTCAAAAGGGAGCTACAATGAAGACTATAGGTAAACTCCCAGCCCTGACCTCGAGCGCGCTGATCCGCTTCTTCCGGAGCAGAGACCCCAACTTTCGGCCCCCGCCTCAAGCTCCGGCTGGATCGTATTTGGAATTGAGGTTTCGGGCTGGTCACAAGTCTTTCTTTGGGTTCTCTAAACTCATGTAACTGGGGTTCTTTCTGCTATGATATAAGTATACTTACTCATTGGTGAAGGGGTATTCGGCTATCTGGGCCTCTATCGGGCATATTAGTACTCCTTGTAACAATAGCCGACAGCTGGAGAGGTGACTTTGCTCAATTATGTTTCGTGGGATCTATAGGGTTTGGAGCCATGCAGAGGCCTCCCTAACGACATATTCGCAGTTTTGTGAATCTCGAAAAAAACCTCTGGGCCACACAGATCAAGCATTTCAGCCCTCTTCCATGCCCGACGAACAGGGCGTAGATACTTAGACAAGAGCTTCGTGGTTCCATCTTAGGAAACTCTGGTTGAGATGAATACCCATAGGCCCCAAAGTAGGTCCTTTTTTGGGATTACCTAGTAGAATTCTATATATGAACCCATAAAAGGAACTGCTTTGGGGCCTTTGGGTAAGCTTAGGTGCGCAGGATGAGCCAAGCCGCCTTCCACGCGCCCGACGCCATCGCGAAGGATCTCCGTGAGCTGGACATTCATCTTGTTCCTGGGATCTACCTATAGTCTCCATTGTACTTCCATTTTTTGGTTTGACCAATTATATATTAGGGATCCTATAAGGTAACCCAAAAGGAACTACAATGGAGACTGTAGGTATAGCCCCCGAAACATCCCCAAAAAGTCAACTTCCAGCTTAAACCCCTAACCCTAAACTTGACATCGGATTTGGTATGCGTGGCCGATGGCTTCGGGCCTAGGGACGAGGGTTCATCTTTCCAAGGTCTAGGGTTGAAGGTTGCCGAGGCCTTGCTCGGACGCAACACAGCAAGCACGTTGAAGAGCTTTAAAGTAGAATGTAGCGGACTTCACGTATGCAGCCTCAGCCCTTCTTGTGTCCAGGGCTCACTCATGTGATTTCCGTGCTTTAGACTGAAGCTCAAACCCTACAGACAAACGCTAATGCCCCAATCAAACGCAAACATCCGAAATCCTAAGCCCACAACAGCCCGCGACCCTTCACCCTATACCCTATAAACCCTAAACCCCACATCAGCGCAAGCAGGCGGCAGCTCGAAGAGAAGCCGCTCGTCAAGGCCATGCTCGCGGCACCACTTCCTCACACTCATCGCTAGGAGCCCTGTTTATGGGGTTCCTGTAACGGGTTCCTTGAAGAGATCCCTTGAAGGGTTCCTTCAAGAATTCTTGTAAGGGGTTCCTTTATGGGTACCAGAAAGTTTGTGTAGTATTTGAGGAACAGCAACCCACTATATGGGCGCGTAAGGCATGCGGCATTCTGACATTAACGTGTGGGACCTACTGGTACCTAGACCCCCGACTATCCTCTATCAGCCTGGTGCCCACTGCTAAGGACCACATGCCATGGCCTCTATTTAAGAAGGTTCTCTCTATAAAAACAAACTATGGAGGCACGATCAGTTTAGGATTTGGGGAACATGCAGCATCTGGCCGCACAGCTGAATCCGAAACACAAGACGTAGTACAGGCGCCCTAGTATTTAAATACTTAAAAAAGGGGGTTGGGGGTCTATCATACTATAATCAGGGACCCAGAATCGTATTGGCAATGGCTTAAAGGCCCCTATCTGAGTTTTGCTACTGTTGATCGCCTCTTTCCTCGCCGCCTTTCAGGGTTCAGAGCCAGTTGCTCCCGACAGCCGAATGCACCACGCCAGGTACAAAAGACAAAAACCCTCAGGTTACGGAGCAATCACAACATGAACCCCACGCGCCAGCCCGGTAAAGGTCCAAAAGCGAAGCTCTCGAGGCATACCCTCCGCTATTCAGACGAGCCTGGACCGCGAATCGCTACCGCCCTCGCGCCGGGAGCGCTCGTGGAGCCAAGTCTGATAGACCCGGAGCCTCATGGGCGAGGAAATACTAAACATATTGGGGAAAAAAACATTTCCCCAATATGTTTAGTCATTCCGGTAAGGCGCCCAAAACTCTAAGAGAACCCAGGCCCCAAACAGTCAAAGCTTCAGCTCACTCACCTGTTTGCACCCAGGCTCTACCGAACAGCTGGAAAGCAACCCTATCAACCCGAATCCCAAAAGCCCAAAATCCCAAAGGCTTCCAGCCGAAACCCCCTCGACCCGAACCCCTAAACCCCTAACCCCTAAACCCTAAACCCTACTATGAGCTCGCAGCGGCGTGGTGAAAAGGTCGCCCCTCTTGTGGTCAAACCTGTGTGCTTTGAGACTACAAAATCCGGAACTTGCACCTGTGTGTGTTCTACACACGGGGTGCAAAGGCTCTGCTTTGAGATGTCAAAGGATGTAACATACATACATGCATATGCACCTATGTAGACACGTGCAAACATGCATGCACACACCAAAGTTACTATGTGTTTGGTATGTCGGAGGTGGCGTACGAAAACACCTGCACATGTGCATATACATATACATGTACATGATACACACACATATACACACACACACACATAGACACATAAATGACAACAGACAAATGATATGTGGTGTATGGTACATCGCGTGTGGAACATCATATGTGCCATGTAACATGTATCTACATAGGTGTGTATGTTTTCATGTATATATATATATATATATATATATATATATATATATTTACATGCACATACAAACTCTAATAAACCTGCACATGTATGTATGCATGCATGCATGTAAAGATCATGCCCAGGTGCCAGTCTTACCACACATAAAACAATACATGTCTGTCTATGGATACACATGTATCTGTACGTTTATATCATGTCTGCTTAGATGTACATGTACATGTCTGTGAGTATGTCTGGTGCAGAGCTTCTTTGCTACTACTGTTGTGACGAGTGTGGCCACACTAACATCCAGTTTTAACGAGACTTACAGTATTGCACTAATTACTAACTTATTACACTAGATTCGCTGGCCGAGCCCTGCTTAAGACCCTGCCTGCTGTGCAGGCATGTCTGCTGTCTTGGGGCTGAACAGATGCATGCACACGTTGACGTGCCGAGGAGCCTCCTCCGGTGAACAAATTTGACAAAGAACCAGGAGCTCTGAAGGAAGCCAAACCCGCAACAACCAACTGCCTAAATCCCACGACCCCAAGACAAGCCAGCACTGCTTGCACCGACCACCTCCTCGCTCTCCATGCTTCCTGGGCGCCGGAGAGTTGATTGCACACCCTGTTGAATGACTTGCCCTTCAAAAGGCCTGAATACCCTCGGGATCTTATAATCACCCTAGACCACTCAGGTGTCTAGATCATTCGTGTACGTGGTTCAGAACGACAGGGCTTCTCCAGACCCGGCGGCTGCGAACATTCATTCCCGGAAGGTCTTGAAGTTTACAGGCAACAACCTAGTCAATCTATCATATCCTCAGGGCCAGCAAGTAGTTGATCCGTGCATGGGCCCGGTACAGTTCTCTCAACAAGTTTCCTCAATACCTCTGCTCTGGTGGAGAAACGATGAGGACGCCATCGCGTCGAGGCAGTTCCATGCGGGCCCCAGTTCAGGTTGCCTACAGAAGCATGTATGGTTTTCTGACACTTAGGACAGAGGGGTGCCGTCTTGGATGCTTTTATGCTAGGATCATGTAAGAGCCTCCGAACTCGCGTGCACCGGGTTCTTGTGAAGGACCTGACCTTAACTTGCCATAGTACTAGGCGTCAGGGCTTAAACCCGAAGCCCGATTTGATACAGTCGTTCAGCTGTCAAGTGGCTGCAGTCTGGGGGAGTGCAGACCCACAGCGGAGGCCAAAACGACTGCACTGCTCTGCACCTGGTGTCGGCGGTTCTAACTGTTACACTGCAGGCGTCTACGCTGCGGTGGTTTGGCATTTCCGCGGTCGCACGCAGACTTGGGATGCAAGGAATTCAATTCCATCGGGCTGGGTTCAATGCTGAACCGGAAACGCTTGCTGCTACGACTGGCAACGACTCTTGCCAGGCAACCAGCCACTCTCAGTGAGAGAACTGGGAATACTCTCAATTCGATGATGCAATCGTAAAATCGAGAAATACCGCGTTTTGTATGCGCGTGGGTTAATTAACATTCGTGCCACGCAGGTTTCGCGCGTTTGACGACTCTTGCCCAGGGTGCTGCCGCCGCTACTGCTGCCGCTGCTGCTGCTTCTACTACGGCGACGACGATGCGAACCCTGGCGCCGCTCACTGATTAGCATTATTTGGCTCATGTTGGGAAGAACGATGTCGGCTCTCCGTTCCTCTCATCTGAAAGAGACTCCACCCCTGCAAAGCACCTGAACCCTGGCAAGAACCCGAAAATCCTGACTCACTTTCGGCCTGGAAGACCAACGACAATAGCAGCATCTTCCCAATGCCAACATCCAACGGCAGTCGTGAAAGGACGCGCCCTGAGGTGGCTGGAGTAGCAACAGCTATAGGCTATAAATTAATTGCATCTGAGCTGAAGGGTCGAAGCATGTACAGCAGGGATTTGCTGGCAATACGAAAGCAGCTCACA